CAGGAAGCCCTGGGCTGAGAAATGCTGCTCTAGAACTTGTTTGTGCTCCAGGAAATTGGTAGCCCTTGGAATGATGAGACAGAAATCCTTACTATGGGGTAGTGCTTTAGAGAGAATAGAAGAAGCAAGAGACTCTCTGGAGAAGCCTGGCTATCAGGGAGGTACCCGTTTTAGGGGGCAAAGTCAAAACTTTAAACGTATCTTTTGCTCAAATTTAGGAAAAGGCTGATCATCAAGGACAAAACCGTGTAGGAAATTTAAGTTTTTCCTAATTTTGTCACTATTACACATCAAACTCTTATGTGTTATGTGCATATACATAATGTCACTGAATGCTTTTGTGTTTCTGATGTTTACTCTCCTTCTGGTTTAAGTTACACACCAAAGACAAGGAAGAGACCAGGGGGCTCATGGTGTGAAATGCTTAGATATCTGGGGGAATATGGCATGTTGCTGGTGGGCTAATAATGGTTAAATATAAAAAGTAGAACACGTAGAGAAAGTTGAGGATGTAATTTTAAATCACGATCCCAACTTAAAAGACAGAGGAGATGAGATTCCACAAGTAGGGGAGATAAAGAACAAAGGCTGGTGGTTTTATGTTATATAGGAAAAACATACTTATGGCTTTTCTTTTTACTCAGATCTAGTCGTGAAGGCAGACAACGCATTAAAAATACCCGATGTCATTCATTTATGCAACAATTTATTGAGCAGCAATTTAGGACAGATGTGGTGCTTATGGTATCAGGGACACAGCTTCCCTTCTCATTTCTCCACTTTGCTTGGTCTCAATCTCATGATCTAAGATGGCAGCAGCTATGTTTCAGGCAGCAGGATGGAGGAAGAAAGGAAGAAGCAGCTGCCACATGACATTCCTATTTCCAGCTATATACAAGGAGACTGGAAAATACTGGAAAATACTGCTGTGTGTAAAAAATCAGGGTGTTTATTACCATACAAGAATAAAACAATAGATATCGAGGGACAACTAGTATCCTCTGCCATAAGCATCTATTGCCAGGTTTTTCAATCTCAGCGGTATCGACATTTTGGGCCAGGTAATTCTTTGTTGCAAGAGGTTGCCCTGTACATTGTAGGTGGGTTCAGAAGCATCCCTAGCCTCTAACCTCCAATAGCATCCCCCCTGTTGTGACAACCAAAAATGTCAGACACACAGGGCTGGGGTGCTGCATTTACTGCATATGCAAAAGGCCTGAGAGGGGGACGAACTTCGGCTTGTTAAAAGAAGAACCAGAATATGAGTGTGGTTGGCAGGGAAAATTGACTGAGATGAGCGTGGTGAAGCATTGGGGTTTGATCTTAAGTGCAATGGAAAACAATTTTAAGATATTAAGCACGGAAGTGACATGATCTGTTTTTAAAAAATCAGGTGGCTGCTGAGAACACGTATGTAGGAAAGGCATAAGAGAGGATGCAGGGAGACCAGTCAGGAGATTGTGAGGATAGTCCTAGTGAGAGATGGTGTTGGCCTGGAGTTTGGTGGTGGTAGTGGGAATGGAGAGAAATAAAACTGGAGAAAAAGAACTAAGACAGGAAATGGCTATTATCTTTGATTTACCAACTGGGTAATGTATAAGATCCAGCGGTCTTCCAGGGCTTCTGTTTTCTACACATCTTGAATTCAGTGCAGCCCATTACAGACATGCCCTGTATGTTTCTGAAATATTTGAAATCATTCTGGCTATAGAAGTAAGCAGAACTAATAAAGGTATATGTTTGCTTAGAAATTAAGATGGAAAGCAACACTGTGAAGGTAGTAATGCCATTTAGTACACCGATTAAAGAAGAAATGTTAAAAAGAGAAAAAAGAATTTTCAGAAAGTGGATTTCAACAAGTTCAAGATTTCTAGGAAAGGTAGAACAAAGGATGGAAAAATTCAGGCAGGCTCAATGGACTTTAGACAAAAAATTTCAGAGATATTAAAGCAAAGGTCAATGCTTAAAAAGACTGCTATATTTACACATTGTATAGCAGGCACTCAAATGCATGGAGTATCAAGCCAGTAGAGCTGGGCATGAGCTACTTGGCTGTGATGTAACACAGATGGAAGGGACAGTGAGAAGGCAGTGGAAACTGAAAATGGGAATGTAGAACTAGACCAACCCATACAGGCAGAGCAAGACAACAGGTGCAGGTGTATCCAAGCAGCTATGGATAGAAGGTCCAACGACGAAGCAGGAGTGTCTCTGCAGGCACGCAGAAAACAGCAGACAAGAACTCTTAAGAGCAGGTAGTATTTGGAGATCCAGGCAGGCTGGCAGCATCAGGACAACATTCTAGAAGGTAGCTGAACTCCAGGCTCTGGATTGGAGTTTAGGGGCAGGACTCCTTCACTGGAAGAGGATCCCAGTCCCCAAAGTACTGCTATAAATAGCCAAGAGAGGAACTCAGGCCCCAAGAATCAAAGCAAAAACACAGTTCCCAGTACTGGGGCCCAAGACAAAGAGCTGGACAGCAACAAGGACAACTTGTGCCAAATTCTAGAGTGGGTAGCAAGAACTCCTTAAGTGCCACTTTCTAGAGTCAGGAACCTCAAAGGCAGACTGCAATTAAGGGCAGAGTTTGAAAAAACTCTACATAACTCTGATGGAAGAGGGAAAGAATAATACTCCTGTGACACCATCCATTACTGGCAAAGACAGTAATAAGAACTAACAAACAGCCTGAGATATTGGTATGGTGGTAGTGTAGACTCTGGATTCACACTCCCTAGTTCAAACTCTGGCTAAGACATGGTGATAGTTCCTGCGTAGCAATACTGCTACCTTGGGAAAATTCCTTAAATGTTTGAGGCCTCAGGTTACAGATCTATAAAACTGAGAGGGTTGTGGTCTAAGGTCTCTTAGATGTAAACTTTAAAGTACTTTTTGGGAATCTTTCAAATCCTCATGCTCCAGGACCTGCCCCTTGCTGTACAGTCTGAACAACTTTGAGAATCAGTGTTATCTTCTTTAGTTCATATAATAATCTGGATGTAAGTTTTATTATTCCCATTTTGGAGATAAGGAAATGGAGGCCCAGCAAGTTTGAATTACTCCTTCAAGATCATATGGCTAACAGGTGGTGAAGCCAGGATTAGATTTTAGTTTAGCCAGTTCTAAAGCTGTGCATTTTTTACTTTTCTCTGTGTTCCTCTGTCATTAGACTAGATTTCCATACAACGGGCCAGGATCCCAAACTCTCAATAGCTGTATATTTACCCATGTAGCTCTCACTTTGATATTTCTAAGTCTATACTCTGAGCTGTCATTTGTTCAGTTCGCTCTTCTTTCAGCACTCTTTTCCTTATGGTGCTGTCAGCCCACATGGTCTAACTCCCATTTCTTACTCCTGCTAAATGTCTCCTACATCTCTATTTTCTAGCAGTCACTCCTGACTTTTTCTGAAATAAATTTCATATGTACTTGCTCATTTCATCTACTTTATAATGAAAAAAATTAGATATGTGTGAAGTTGGTGCTAAAATTACAATAAATGAAAGAGGGTGAAACAAAGACCGGAAAAATAATAACTCTAGTAGTTATTCTCCACTTTCTTTCATATTTAGATTGTTATGAGATAGGAAGGCAATTTTCATGTTTAAACCTTGGAACAACCTCAACTGTATTAACATTACAATCATTACAAGGAGTTGCTAAATGAATATTTCGAATGGAAAAAGTGTTTAATATTTAGCTTTCAGAATATATAAACATCTCAGAGAAACTGTGTGACCCCAGTGTATGTATATTTGAGGTAATATCTGTGTAATTAATAATTCTCACAGCCATGGGAATCACTGCTCTTTGGCTATGATATACATTAATTTTTAAAGTCAAGATTAAACTCTGATGTGAGGGTTCTGGACAGAGCTGGAGAAGGATGTAGAACAAAATTCTAACTTGCAAAAAAAAGACCAGATTTACTGGCCTAAAGGAGACACCCTTTTAGCTCAGTGGTGAAGTCACTTCCGAGGTTCACCGTTCAGCCGGGGATTAGACGGCCCCATAAAACCAAATGGGACTAATGAGGCACAGCAGTCCAAGGACAAGGGCTAGAAGGCAGAAGGGGACAGGAAAGCTGGTGATAGGGAACCCAAGGTTGAGTAAGGATAGTGTTGATGTGTTGTGAGGTTGTTAACCATTGTCATAGGGCAACATGTGTACTAACTCTTTAATGAGAAACTATTTTGTTCTGTAAACCTTCATCTAAACTGAGAACAGCAGCACAATTGGAAGGGCGTAGCTGATGTCACTGAACTGTGCATGCAGAAATTTTTGAAATGGTGTATCTTTGGCTATGTATATTTTCACCAAAAAAAAAAAAAAAAAAGTAAAGAAGCGAGAGGGCTGACATCGTGGGGTTGTTAACCAATGTCATAAAACAATATGTGTACTATTGTTTCATGAGAAACTATTTGTTCTGTAAACCTTCACCTGAAGTACAATTAAAAAAAAAGATTCCACTCTGTTGTAAAAGAAAGTTCAATTCAGTGCTATGGCAGTTATGCAAATAGACATAAGCCCTATTATTAAACCTGAAAAGTTAGAATGCTTACCAATCGTATGTTATTAACACAAATGTCAACAAAAACCAGTCAAGTGCAGAAGCACAGTAACAAAAATACAGTTATCAATACAACTGTCTTGTTTAAGAGTAAACCATAGTATCATCAGATAAAAAAAAAAAAAACAACTAAGGTCTAAGGTCATTATTTTCATGGTTTGTTCTTTCTGACTTGGAATTCCCTATAAATACAGTGGCTAATTCTAATAATTTATCCTTATTTAATCTGTGAACAAATTTGGCGATACTGAATACTATTGTTAAACTACATCATCATCTGACTAAACAGAATACTATTATTATTGAAAACTCATCAAAGTTTTCAAGCCTATTAATTATTGCATGCAACTTAAAAATCTAATTTTGGAAGTAACTGGCTAATGAATTTTTCCTTTTATTGGTAAACAGCCACTATACACCAGTGTTGCTATTAATATGTAAATACGGTGTTTAACATGCTTTTATTTTTCTTAAGAGCTGGAATACAGACTTTACAATATTTCTGAAACATCATCAAATAGTGTGACAATGCCATTACCATACAGCCTATATGTGGCATTAACAGAATTACTGTCTGGTCATATACAGTGCATATTTCTGAACTGAATTGCATATTTCTTAGAGGTTAACATGATAACAAATTAATCATCTTGACACGGTGTATCACAGTTTTCTTTCACAAAGTTCACAGGCCTTTCTTATTGCCTTTTTCTATACGATCCTGCAAGGAAAAAAATAGGACTTAGGTAGTTATATCGAAGAGAAACAGATTCATAAATACAAGGGTTTTTCTTTTCATAAAAATGGCATGGCAGTGTCAGACTTCTACCTTCACAAGAGGTGTGAATAATAATGATCAACATCAGCTGAAAGCTGATGATTCCTATGAGGTGCAGGTCAGAAATACTTCCACCTTCCAATCTTTTTACCAATTCTGACACCAGCTGTCCCTCCACAGCACTCTCTACTTCTCTGCTGGGTTTGATAATTTGTTGCAATGGCCACAGAGAACTCTCAGACCATACTCACAGTTATGGGGTTCATTAGGGAAGCAACAGTTTACAATTCAGGATCAGGAACAACTCAAGATACAGTTCTTCTATCAGGACAGTTTCTTCTCAGCCACGCCTGCAGGCAGGCCTCTCTCTCTTGGCCCTCAGCCCTAGCCTCTGCCCTGCTCAAGTAAGTGTTACAAAATTCTGTAGCATGCCATTCATGGTCATGTAATTCCCACAATATGACTGGGTAGAACTATGCAAACAAGGTGCTTGCGGCCTACCAAGGGGACTGGACAGCCTGCTAATAATACAAATAAGGTGCATGAGTGGGACCATGCAAATAAGGTGTATGGAACCCTAATGAGGGGATTGGTCCATTTTGCCACCTCACTAGGCATAAAATGAGCTAATTTCAGAAGTGGAGAGAGGGGACCTCACTATGACCAAGAAGAAAAGCCTGGAGTGGAGCGCAACTTTTGTACCTAGGGTCCCTGCGCTGAGAACCTCCTAGACCCAATGTGAAAATATGGATTGAGAAAGTCTTAAATTTAAAAAACTACAAGATTTGTAGGTTTTCCTTGATAAAAATGCCTAGAAGGGAAAATATAACACTCTTGAAAAGTTTGCTTATTTCTCTGCCTTAATATGACTTTCATAGGTTACACCAGGAAACTAAAATTTCTAAAATTCCCTTATTGCAAACCCAATAGAAGTTTTGGCAAGGGAAGAATGAGTGGAATTAAAACCAAAACCAGATAAACCCAGTGTGTATTTTTTTTTGTCCTTCAGATAATTGCCAACAGAACTAGCTACTCAAATTCTTTGCTGATAACATTATAAGGATGGCTACTATACATCATCTAAAACTGGAGGAAAATGGAAAAGAAAGAAACCTTAAGAAATCATTTGGCCACACTGAGATACCACTTCACACCTGCTAGGATGGTTGTTATATGTATATATAGTATATATTTTATATATAAAGGAAAATAACAAGTATTGGTGAAGATGTGAAGAAATTGGAAGCTTGTCCATTGCTGGTGGGAATGTAAAATTGTGCAGCCACTATGGGAAATAGTTTGGTGGTTCTTCAAAAACGTAAATATACAATTACTATATGACCCAGCAGTCATATACTCAAAAGAATTAAAAACAGGGACTCAAACAAATATTTGGTTAACTGCAATGTTATTCACAATAGCCAAAAGTGGAAACAACCCAAGTGTCCACCAGCAGAGAATAGATAAATAAAACTATATATACATACAATTCAGCCATCAAAAAAATGCAGTTCTAATAAATGCTACAGTATGGATGGACCTTGAAAACGTTAATGCTAAATGAAATAAGTCAGATACAAAAGGACAAATATTCTATGATCCCATTTATAAAATATCTAGAATAGACAAGTGCATAGAGATAGAAAGTAGATTAGTAGTCACCATGTGCAGGGGAAAGGGAAATGTGGAATTTGTTTAATGGGTACAGAGTTTCTGTTTGGGGTGATGAAAAAGTTTTGCAAACAAATGGTGGTGATTGCACAACACTGTGAGAGTGATTAATGCCACTGGACTGTATACTTTAAAATGGTTAAAATGGTGAATTTCATTTTGTGCATGCTTTACCACAATTTAAAAAAAAAAAGATTGCTTGGACTAAGACGGTAAATGTCTACATCAAGAAAAATGTCTCCTAAAATAAAGTTGTACAGTGTTATTGTTTATATACAGGAAGCTCATCAAGCTCTTGTTCAGGCTGGGCATTAATGCTTTCAGAGCAACTCGAATAACATTAATTTTAAGAACCAAATAGGAAGACATAATTGAGTGATAAGGTACCATTTTCACATGTTATACACATGTATCTTACCAGTTTAGATAAAAATCAAAGCTTTAATGGAGTTGTTATTATGGGTAAGTCCCTTAAGTGGAGAGTGCTTTTCCAAAATGAAATTTAAGAATTGGCAGGTGATGATGGGTCTGTGCTGTCAATAACCTCTAGTCACTTCTGCCCTCTCTTTCCCAGAAGAGAGCTAGGGCAAATAAGGAAAGGCAAATACTACATATTTTGAAGGGACTATTTTCTTTTATTTAGTGCCTACAACAAAAGAGGGGGCCAGATGGGGAAATCGAAAAGGATTTAAAAAATGCAAACTGAAATTTGTTTATGGTAAAGAAATCTCTTTCTCCTCTTTCACCTGTTTCCTTAATATTTTAACAATCCTTTATTTTATGATTATTTCATTTAAAGTACATCAAGTATGAAAAATTCAGAAAGCTAACAAGTTTCCCAAAGAACCTTAAGATATAATTCAATTACTATGATAGATGTGACAACGGAAGTTAAATTCTTAAAGAAAGATTTGATACAACTTTTTACCACAACTGGTCTACAGCTATGTTTTGCTTCTCAAGTAAGGTTAAGAAGGTGAACTTCAAAATGTTAAGAGTCACACCTAGGAAAATGGTTCTCATTTAATGACGCCTAAATGTCAGAATTTCGTGTAGGTTCTCATACTGGACTGGGGTGGGGGGTAAGTAGATGGGAAAAAAAATGTGATCAAACAAGACATAATTAACAGTGTCTTATGGCTGTATAAAGCTTTTCTTGTTTATTTAAGTACCTTCTTGCACAGGATCCTGTTTAATGTTCACAGGCAGCCCACTGAGGAAGGTATTCTAATTCTCATTTGAGTAATGAAGAAGCCAAGTTGTATGGATGTCAAATGATTCATCCAAGGGTTACAGAACTGGTGAACTATGGAGCTGATGTATTTTTCCCCCTTCAAATAGGAAATTGGTTTTATAGGTGATGAGAGAGTAGACACACCAAACACATTAGTGAGCACCTCAGGTATGAGCGACAACAGAAAGCTACCATCATTCCTTGGGCTGGAGGGACAAGGGAAAGGATGGTGTTACGGAGCCCAGGAGCCAGTGCCACCAGGTGAAAGCTGGAACTTTGGTGGTTCTGCCCAGTAGGAACTGGGACCATGGAGGGAAGGAGCTAGAGCCATGAAAGAGATGCAGCTGCTGCTGAAGATACCACCCAAAGGAGAAAAACACCCTGGCTTTCCCCCTCCTCTTGCCATTCGGTCTTCTACTAGTACCTACCCAATGGCTGAAGCTGTCAAGAAGTCAGAGAGCAAGGGAACCTGGGAAATATAGCTTCCTGAGATACAAAGTAGAGCAGAGGTGGGAGGAAAATGAATCCAACAACATACAGTCCAATAACCAGCATAAGCCAAATAGCATGGTGGTTAATGATGGAGGTTCTTGAGAAAGATTTCCTGACTTTAAATCCCAGGTTTGAATCCTATCACTTTCTAGCTCAGTGACTTTGGGTAAATTATATAACATCTCTGGGCCCTAGTTTCCTCATTCACAAAATAGGGATATTAAAATATTTTAACTCATTGGGTTGTTATGGAGAGTAAACACAATAACATATGAAGCCATTAGCCAAGAGTTTGGTCCAGAACACACACTCAGTAAATGTCATCCATTAAATTATTTCAATAACCTGGATATAAGCAGAAATTAGATCAAGGCCCAACTCTCAGCATAGCATTTGGCGTATCTGGGATAGGGGCCCTTCTTCAAAGAAACAGGTATGAAAACTACTTTCTTGGGAAGGAATTACTCCTAAAAGCTTTCTACATCCTTTGCCAAGAATGCAGAAGCTCTACGCTGAAGGTGGCTTTTTTGGGGAGAAGGAAATGGATTGAGGGAATCTCACGGTTACATACACTCTTCAGGGATGAGGAAAACCATTATCTGTTACCACATGGAGAAATTCAGCAATGGCTACTTGCCACTGGAAATAGAGGGAATATTCCAACTTCTCCTTTCCCCATTTAGGGAACTAAACGTTTCTGACACCCTGGCCAAGTCCACTGGCATGAATACTCATCTTGCTTGAGACACCTTGACCTCACAAATAGGAGAAAAAAATTCTTCTATTTCTAGAAGGTGAGAGGCCTCTGAAGTGACTTCTTCACTGCCTGTGGTAGATCTTGAAGGATGCTGCGAAGTCAGTAATTCTCATCATGTCCTGGTGGATGTCAATTTCAGGATCTCTATTTTAGATAGAGATGGGGAGAGGGCAGTCTTGCTGAAAATCTCAGACCACGTGACTGAGCCCTCAGTGCCCTGGGATTGGAGCACATAGGGTATCCACCCTTCTCTGAGTTGCCTTGTCTTTTTCTTGCTATTTTTATAGCTGATTAAATTAACATGCAAACCAACAGGGAATGTCAGATTACAAATGTGCTTTGGATTGCTTCTTGACTGGTTCTGTATCAAGGCTGAAGTGACTGGAACAGGAATAAGTCATTTTTCCAGCAAAAACTTCTACAGAGGAATAATGAAGATGACGATAATGAAAATAATAGCTACCATTTCTTGAGTGTTTACTATCAGCCAGGCACTGCGCTGAACAACCTATATATTTTATTTAATTCTTCCAACAACTCGGGGAGCTAGGCGTTATTATTGTTCTCGTTTTACAGACGATGAAAATGAGGCCCAGAGGGTGATGTAATCTGCATGGGATCACAGAGTTATAGTATGAGGCCAGGTATAGGTATTTCAGGTCTAACTCCAAAGGCTATGCATATAGTGCCCGCTTGTCTCATGTCAGGCACAGTGCTGGATCCTGGAAATAAAATGACCATTAAGACATAGGGAAATGAGTCCTGCGACTAGGGCTTCTAGTATAGTGAAATAACTGTAGAGCTGTAATTGCTAAAAAAATATATATATATATATACCCCTGATTGAAAGCTATGGGGGCTGCCAAATTCTGAGAACCAACCCAACAGCAGAAGAGCATAGGTACTCAGCCTTGGGAGGAGCTGGGAGGGAAGGCCAAGGTTGCCTCTGGAATAATCTTCTTCCACCACCCACCAGGAAAGAGGGACCCCCTGCTCCTTCCCACTTCACCACACATATGGTCAAAGTGTGGCTGGGAAAGCAGTTCAGGTCAGGGGCTGGCAGCTGAAGAGTGGAGGGGAGCCAAAGAGCCCAATGTGGATGAAGGGGACTCTTGCTGGACTGGAGGGAAAGAGAAGCAAACCTTACGGTCCTTGACTTTGTGGCCAATGAAGCTGAGATTTTAAGTACTGGCTTTAACAACAAACATTTCTTTCTCATTTCCATTCTTCAAACTACCTTTGAAAGTAAACCATATATCTGAATGCCATAAGTTCTGTTCCAATATGACTAAAACCCTGGGACAGAAGGAGTAGTGTGATGCGAGACTTCAACTTTTGGCCTCATTTCAGGATGAATATGGCACACGTTCTAACCAAATTTTTTTCAGAACCAGCCCCTTTTTCAATGTTGTCATTTTGTGGCTCAATTCTTTTACTTAAAACTTCACCAAAACTAGAATGCTGTAAGTCAGCATGTCAACAATTCTTTATGGTATGATTATCTTGTATTTCCATGCAAAGTTCCTCTAGTTACCTGGCTTCTTTGATCACTTAACAAAGCCAGGATTAAGTACATCCTTCTTGATTTGGGAAGGGCAAACATCCTGAATAGTTGACTTAGGTAATTAATATTTCAAGATATTTAAGCCCAAAAAGTGAAGGTCTGTCACCCACCTGAAGTTCTGAGTGTTCTTTCAGGAGTCGGTCATATTCTTTTGAAAGTCTCTCTGATTGCATCTTCATTGTCATCACGTCATTCTGTGCCTTAGAAAGGGCTAGAAAACATCAAACAGAATTTGACTTTCAAATTATTATTTGAAAACAATTTCAAATTTACAGAAAAGTTACAAGAATTTGAGAACTCCTTTTCTCAAATTCACCAACTATTAACATTGTGCTATATTTCAGTTATCATATTCTCTCTCTTTACACAAACAGACACACCCCATACACTTATTCATTTGCTTGAAACATTTGAGAATAAATTGCAGGCATCATTCCCTTTTACTCCTTGACACTTCACTGTGTATTTCCTGAGAGCAACGATATTCTCTAATATAACCACAATATAGTTACCGAATTCAGGAAATTCAATATCAATACAATACTTAATATAATCTATCATTCATATTCCAGTTTTGGCAACTATCTCTTGTTAGCATTTATCTTTTTAGCATTTTTCCCCTCTAGTCCAAGATCCAGTCCCAGATCACATATTGCATTTAGCTGTCATGTCCCTTTAGTTTTCTTTAATCTGAAATAGTTCCCTAGCTCCCTCACATCCTCATCCCTTAGAGGCCCACCTCTGGTCTTTTGTGACACTGACATTTTGTAAAAATACAGGCTGCTTAAAAAAAAAAAAAAAGTTCTTCATTTTGGTTTTGTCTGATGTTTCCTCATGATTAAATTTAGGTTATGTATACCACTTATGTACGAATATGACATAAGTGACATTGAATCCTTCTCAGGGTATCACATCCAGAGGCCCATCTGCCCTTCACTGTTTTTTTCATTTTACAGTTACTATTTTCCTCCTTTCAACGAAGACGCAGTATGTGGGGAGACACTTAAGACCATGAAAATATCCTGTTCCTCATCACAATTTAGCCCCCTACATTTAGTTTTCGTTGACAGTTCTTGCCTAAACCAATCCATATTATGACAGTTGCAAAATGGTGATTTTGCAAATTCACCATTCCCTATACATTTATCAGTCAGCATTCTACTGTAAGGAAGAGACTTCCTTTCCTTTCCACCCATCCATCCATCATCAGTATAGACTCATGGTTCTTATTTTTTTCAACGTTTTTTAACTCATTACTGTACTTAATTATTTTGATGCTCAAATTGCACCAGATTTGGCCAGTGGGAATGTATTTTGACTGTGTCCTTTTGACTATGCCCCCATCATGTTTTTGAGTATTCCTGACTTTCTGGCACAAGATGTTCCAGGCTCTTCTTAAACTTTCCCTGCCTCCACCCTGGACTTAGGTTTTATAAGAACAGAATTTATCAGAAAGGTATGCTTCTGAAAAAACTAATCGGAAGAAAAAATATTTTTATCATTCTTGCTAAGGGACAGGTGGCTATATTTCCTTAAGAACAAAGAAAATAATTTTCTTATATGAAGTTGAAAAATATGGGGGTATATATATATAAGTGGCACTTAAAGGCTTTACCTCAAGGTAATGACACATAAACATAGCTACATATTAGCCTTTGTCTACCAAGAAACTACAATCATAATGCAGCAGATTCATGTCCTTAGAAGCAAATATATATATACACACACACACACATATGTATACACATATACACATATACATGTATATACACATATACCACACTGTGATGGTTAGGATTGTGTATCAACTTCGATGGGCCATGATTTTCAGTGTTTTAATGTGATCACTCCCATGACTGAATACACGGTGAGTAGCCAATCAGATGAAAGGGAGTCTCCTTGTGGGTGTGGCCTGTATCTGAATATAAGCAGACATTCTGGCTTTTTGCTCATTCTGGATACTGCAGCTGCCTCCTGTCATCTCATCTCTGGTTCTTGGGACTTAAGCTGTCAGCTTATCTGCCGAATCTGGGATTCGTAGATCTTCACAGCCTGTGAGCAGAGCCCTGCTCTCTGACCTGCTGATCTTGGGCTCACCAGCTTCTGCAGCTGTGTGACTTGGGAGAGGCCTCTACCCTGACCCACGGACTTGGGATGTTCTAGCCTCTACAACTGCGTGAGCTGTCTCCTTGATATAAATCTCTCTATATATACATATTTATATGCGTTACTGGTTTTGCTTCTCTAGAGAACCCAGCCTAAGACATTTGGTACCGAGAGTGGGGTGGTTCTAGAGAAACAAAATTGTGAGGATGAGTTTTCTAAATTGGTTCTCAAGTCTGGTTAGTCTTAAAGATGTTGCTGACTCTGCTTCCAGCAGTAAAGAGGCCACTGCTAGTCCATGGAGTGAGGTGGCGATACAAATACGCAAAATATAACCACCAGTAGATCAGGTATTGGTGAAAGGTGAGGCTCAGGGTGAACACATGTGATATCTTTCTACACCTCTGTCAGAATGAGAAGTATAAGGAAGCTGGTTGGTTTGTCCTACTCTCGCTGGACAAACTGGTGAAAGAAAGAGATGTGCTCAGGGCTTCAGAGTCAAAGCTCAAGTGTCGCATACATGACCTCAAGGCTTCCACTTGTGCTTTGAAAGAAAGCCTTATTTCTTGTAGTAACAGAGCTGAAATTGCCGAAAACCAAACCCAGAGTCTTACTGTAAGAGTGGCTGAATTACAACCCCGCCTCAATTGCAAACCTTGAGAGGTGTCTGAAGTTAAAGTAAGGGCACTGATTGGGAAGAAATGGGATCCTGAAACTTGGGATGGGGATACATGGGCAGATAATCAGGGAAGTGGTGACACTGAGCCTGCAAATTCCGTTGAATCACTCCTGCCAGCAGAACCAGTCCCATATGAAGAGATAACTTCATGTTTGTCTGCTAAACCACCCTGCCCAGAAAAACCATTAGCCCCTCCACTGCTATCTAATGAGATTAGCCCTAGCCCAGCTGCCTCTAAAGAGCACTTGCCTGAGTCATTGCCTGGAGCATCACCTGAGGCAGATGCTTTACAAGATAATGCTGAATGTTCTCAAAACAATTCCACACTACTAATCCTGGCTTCTAGACCTATAACTAGGCTTAAGTCCCAGTGAGCCCCAAAAGGTGAAGTACAAAGTATGACGCAGGAAGAGGTATGCTACACTCCAAAAGAACTACTTGACTTTTCTAATATGTACAGACAGAAACCTGGGGAATATGTGTGGGAATGGCTATCAAGGGTGTGGGATAATGGTGCAAGGAACATAAAGATGGATCAGTCTGAGTTTATTGATATGGTTCCACTAAGCACAGACTGTTCATTCAATGTTTCAGCTAGAGAATCTAGGAAAGGATCTAATAGTTTATTTGGTTGGGTTGCTGAAGCATGGATTACGAGGTGGCTGACACTAAATCAAGTTGAAGTACCAGACCTGCCTTGGTATACTGTAGAAGAAGGTATCCAAAGGCTTGGAGGAACTGGCATGCTAGAGTGGATTTATCAAGTTAGATCCACAGACCCACACGTGAAGTTCCCAGAGGACACATCTTTTACCACAACTATGAAGAACAAATTTGTGAAGGGAGCTACAGTATCCTTGAAGACTGCTGTGATTGCTATTTTACGCAAGTCAGATTTGACAGTGGGAACTGCCCTAACTGAATTAAGACACCTAACTACAATGGGGCTGAATGGACCTCATGGTAGTAGGGGTCAAGTGGCTGCACTCAATTGACAAAGTGGGCATGGTTACAGTAATGGACAGAGGAGTCAAAGCAGTAATCAGAATAGTCTGACTCCTACGGACTTATGGTCTTGGCTACTCACTCATGGTGTCCCTCGGAGTGAAACAGATAGGAAATCTACTAAATACTTACTTGATCTATACAAACAGATGAATTCTAGGTCAGGTGAACAGCAGTCTAACTCGAATCGCCAGAAACAGTCACAATCCCTCAATCAATTCCCAGATTTGAGCAAGTTTAAAGACCCACAATCTGCTGAATGAAGGGGAGGCTGGGTCCCCTTGAGGAAGGACTCCAATTAACTGACAAAAATTTTTACTGTTAATCTTTCTCCCTGCCTTCCCCAAAGAGATCTACGGCCTTTTACGAGAGTGACTGTTCACTGGGGAAAA